AGTGAGAGAGAGGCATGGACATATATACACTACCAAATGTAAGGTAGATAGCTAGTGGGAAGCAGCCGCATGGCACAGGGAGACCAGCTCGGTGCTTTGTGACCGCCTGGAGGGGTGGGATAGGGAGGGTGGGAGGGAGGGAGACGCAAGAGGGAAGAGATATGGGAACATATGTATATGTATAACTGATTCACTTTGTTATAAAGCAGAAACTAACACACCATTGTAAAGCAATTATACTCTAATAAGGATGTAAAAAAAAAAGAAAAAGGCAAAAGTATCACAATTTATGATTAGATTATTTATTCAATAGAATTTTAGACCTTCCAATATGCATTCATCTACATATCTCTAAAGAATATCATGATTCCCTCGTATAAACATCCATGTCATTGTCTTCTTTTTTCCCCCAACATCTTTATTGGAGTATAATTGCTCTACAACGGTGTGTTAGCTTCTGCTGTATAACAAAGTGAATCAGCCATACATATACACGTATCCCCATATCTCCTCCCTCTTGCGTCTCCCTCCAACCCTCCCTATCCCACCCCTCTAGGCGGTCACAAGGCACCGAGCTGATCTCCCTGTGCTATGCAGCTGCTTCCCACCAGTCATCCATTCTACATTTGGTAGTGTATATATGTCCATGCCACTCTCTCATCTCGTCCCAGCCCACCCCTCCCCCTCTCCATGTCCTCAAGTCCACTCTCCGCATTTGTGTCTTTATTCCTGTTCTGCCCCTAGGTTCTTCAGAACGCTTTTCTTTATTTTTTAGATTCCATATATATGTGTTAGCATACGGTATTTGGTTTACTCTTAAGGGAAGTATACAACCTTACCTGTCTGGGTTTTTTCTGCAATGATATGCTATTTGTTTGATATTCCATATTCTTCAGTAATGACACAGTTTTGTGATATGATATATATCTTATAATCTTACCAAGATTCCAAAATGTAAAAAGCAGGAAAAAATAAATAAGAGCAATTTTTAAGAGAATAAAAGCCTTTGGCCTTCTAATGAATTTTTAAGTGGCACATCTTAAAGCAGAAAATAAATTAAGCTGGAAAAAGAAAAACAGAAGTAGGCAGAGAACTATTTTGAAAATCCAAAAATTGCACCTTCTGAGCATATAAAATGGCTCAACAAGGCTACTTATTAAACAATTAACTCATTCTTTAAACTATAATGTGTTTTATTTGTAAACCAGTATCATTTTTATTTTAACATACACTTCCAAATATACCCAGGAGTCATTTTTGGAAAATAATTAGTCCTAAAAAACAAAAAAGGAGTAGGCTGTATTACTACTGACCTAAGGTGGCTCTGTGATTTTATTAAAAATTAAATACTCTTTAGAGGCATTATTCAGTAAAATATTAAAAATATACTTTTTCCAAAGTTATTTACAATGTATTTCCACATCACAGACTTACTGGACACTTGAATTTGCAGTGAAATATCTGTTACCCTTTCTTCCTTGATTAACCGTTGCTCTAACTGCGACATGCTGCATTAATTTTTAAGGCTTTTAAAGTGGAAATTACAATGCCTGCTGTGATAATAATACTACCCTAACTGTGGCAATCACTTTAAAACTACTTCTTTGCTTATCATTAGCAATGCTAAGTGATAAAAATAATTATATTAAGAGTATTCTGGGAAATGAGTGTTTAACAATTTTTAATATTCTGAACAGCTCAATCTAGATAACTCTCAGTACCATGGATTAGGATACTGTCTGATGGCATGGACCCTTCTAAATTTCCTCTAATTAAGTAAAATCCCCAGATGGTTCTCAATCAATCAATCCCCCCAACCACTCTTCTCTCTAGCTACCTCCCTTACAGCCAGGCTCATTGAACCAGCTGCCAAACCAGGCTGACAACAGAATAATCAAGGTAGAGCAATTTCCTGGGACCAAATCCATTCAGATTCAAGCCTGAAAGGCTTAGAGCTGCTTTACCTTGGGGCAACTAGTCATCCAGTAAGTGTCAGATGGGTTAAAGTGAAAAGCACTCCACAATGAGTGCAAAGTTATCACTTCCTCCATCTTTTATATGTCTAAGAAATTCATACGTAAAAACGAAAGCATCTTTTCCATGACAGCTCATCTGTCATGAAATAAGCATCTGTCACTCTTAAGTGCTGACAATTGATTTTATAAATATAATTGCCCTACATTTTGCTTTCTTTTGAAAGAAAGTCGACTTATCCAAATGACTATTCTTCTGGAACATTCAGAGTTCTTGACAAGTGACAAATGACAAAGCAGAAGTGATAAACCAAGACTAAACATGGATAAAAATCAATCATGAGTTTCCTGCTTATTACCTTAGGAACATCTGGGTTTAATTCAATGCAAAGATACAGTTGAGAATCAACATAGGAGCATAAAATCCATTTAAAGTAACTAATTATACAAGAGAAAAGATGATGTGAAATGCATACACAGATCAATGAAATGCTCTTTGTTGCTATCAAAGAGGCACAAAAGTCTTAAAGAGGTTTGAGATCTGATAATACTGTCAGCGAGATTATCAATGTCACTCACTTAACTTATAGAAGCTGCCAGAAAATGCTCCAGTAGTAACGGCTGCATTTTAAACGCTTCTTTCTAACCAATACTTAAGTTGAAATATACAACTAAATAAGATTTTAAAATGAATGCATTGGGGAAAAGGCATGTGATATTAAGGAAGGTTTTGTGATTGTCTGCCATTTGGATATTAAAGAATAATTTCAAATTAGGGAACTAAAAGCTATACTGGAGGAGGAGAGTGGATCTACTTCAAGCGTAAACTCTGAAAAGACACAGAATGTGTTAAAAGATTACAAAGGCTTTAAAAAGGCTTCAAAAACTAAGTTACCTTTTACCTTGAAATAGTCTAGACATAAAGACTCTTCTATCAAGGACATCTTGATAGGTTATATGCACAGCATAGCATTCAAATGTTTGTTCAAAGGACATATGAATGAATGGTTGGTCACAGCAAAAATCAGTCCTCAGAAATTTGGTTTTTCTACCTGATTATTCTTGTCTGTCAGTTGATCAAGAGTTTCAGATTGTTTCTCCAGTGCTCGCTCTAACTTCTTATGCTTAAGCTTCCACTGCCTAATGGACTCCTGAGCTTTCAGCTTCAGCTCTTCTCTCCTCTCCTCTGCTTCCTGTCTCAGGGCCTCCGACTGCTGGAACTCAAGGAGGTACTGCTCGGCCTGCTTGGTTGCATCCTCAGCATGCTGAGTCAGCTTTGAGATCTGGAGGTCAGCGCACTTATGTCTGGCGTCACATGTCTCAAAGTGATTCTGGATCTCCTTCAGTTCATCCAACATCTCTAGTTGCTGTTTCTCCCTGTTCTCCAATTCACAGGTTAAATTCTAGGAAGAAAGCATGTGAGATATCAGGAACACGTTCTTGTCAAAATTAGATGCATAACATATCATCAAACAAGAATCACTAACGTCACTAAATTAGCAATCAATCTAGAAAATATGATCTTTTTCCATGTATTTTATGATCACATTAGTTGAGAATAATTTTTTATAAAAATATTTTCTTTTTTAGACTACTTCATTATCCAAAAAGGAAAAATATTTTTTTTCCAATTGACTGTCACTAAAATAGAAGGTCTTGCTGATGAGAAAAACAATGTGCATTACTTTAGTAAAAACCTAGTGTTTTGTACAACTGAAGAAACGTCAATGTTTTAAAATTTGTCAGATATCAGAGCAATTATATGCAATCATACGTAATGCTTCACTTTTTGGCAGCACCTAAAATTTTGTTATAATAAAATAAACATCTGTAACAAAAAATGAGCATTGATGATAGAAACATCAGTAATAGATAACACTGTATGTGAAAGTCCATTTAAAAGACTCTCAATAAAGTATTTATAGATAGGTTATTTCCAGGTAAATCAACATAATGTTGTAAGTTGTTGAACTTACCTCGAGCTTATATAAATCACTGCAGGATAGATTTTTAAATAAATTTATGTGGAATACATACCTAATCAAGAAAAGAACCTAACTTCTTTTTTTTAAGAACCTAAACTCTTAAAAGCTAGCTTCCCCAAACCAAAAGTGGTCAATAATACATTTGGAACTTAATCATCATGATTCATACATATTTTTAATCTGAGAAGAATGGGCAAAGATGGATTGTTAACTTCAAAAGTGAGAGGACATTATATAACATTCTATACAAATAAAAAAATGAATATAATCATTAACATTAAGTCACTCTTGTAAAACTCTGGGAGTGACAAGTTCAAATACAAGTGCTTCCAATGTATCCCATAAGCTGTACCTCCTGAGCCTTAGTTTCCAAATACCTGTGGTTACAACGGTGACATGAAAATGTCATGTGTCCAAGTAAGACTAGGTTCAGAAGGCTAAGATGATGCTGCAAGCTGGACAAACAATAAATATCATCTACACTGTCCTGAAGCACCTACAAACAGAGACTGGAAACATTTAAAAACCTCCTATGACTCTAACAGCAGAATGTTCAGTTCCAGATTCATCATCCCTGAACTGTGGCTCAAATAAAGTTAAATTTCTCTCATGATTAAAGTCATGGTGTGACATTATGGCAATAACATAAAAATAATGCCTCGAAAACAAGAGGTTTGCATTTGCTCAGTTTGCTAAATTCAATGCAGCCTGGAAGAGATGAGTCACTCCTTTATCCATCCAAACAAAATAGTAAATTGAGAACTGTGCACTTGTTTGTGTGGAAAATTCTAAAATGAGATCAGAAAACCCTAGTGATGGTGGTTTACCCCTTTGCCCTTATCTAAAAGTTTTACCACTATGCCAGAAATCAGCTTTATTAACAAGCAGTAGTCAAGTGGTTTCCAGATCAACAGAGAGACACCATTTTTTTCCCCACAACAAAGACTTGGGAGACTGGTTTCACTTGCTATGTGTTAGGCAGATAATTTACAGAAAGGTTAATAAGATCTGGCTACAACACCAAAGAAGATAACAATCTAACTGTGGAGATATTCAGACTATCAGTTAAATTACAAGAGTGGATAGTACAAGGTGATGACGGACAGCTACTTGAACGGGTCTATATTCTACAGCGTGGCTGGGGAGGGTCTCTCTTAGGAGGTGACATATGAGCTGAGATCTAAATGAGAAGGAGCTGGCAATAATAACAACAACAACTACTACTACTACTACTACTAAAGTTTATTAAGCAGTTAAATTGTGCAAGGGATAGTGCAAATGCTTTATATGAATTACCTCATTCAATGCCACCACAAAACTAAAGGCACTCTTACTATCTTGGTTTTACTGAAAGGTAATGAACACTTGGAACCTGCGCAAGTTCACATACCTAACAAGTGAAAGCGCAGGATTCAGACCCAGATAGTCCACTCCAGAGCCCATGTTTTCAACTCTTTACTAAGCTTTCAGATTCCCAGAGGACCCCAACTCCATGCCTCTTAGGTCACCCACTCCCATAGTCCTATCCTAGGGTTTTTTTCAGAACTGTCACCTTTGAAACAAAAGGTATGTCCAACCCCACCCCTCCCCATCAGGCCTCTGGCTTTAATCTACCAATCTTCCCAGTTCCCTTTTCTTCTCCTTTTCTTCTGATACATCTGTTCCTCATTGTCAAGAGGATGACCATTCCCTTGATACCCCTTTTGCTGATTTTAAATTCCAGGCTCTTTAACCTAATTTTCTTAATTTCACTTTAGCCACTCCCTTGCTCACATCTCAAACTCCCTTTAAAAACTGTTCATCTACTGAACTTGAACAGCAAAACCACCAACTCTGGAGGAACTACAAAAATCTCCTATTTCCTATATCAGGTTACTCAGTCCTCCAAGGAAAATCACACATGAGTAACAGGTGATGTGATGGGACACTGAAAGCCATCCTCAGTGCCCAGAAATTCTTCTGCAGGCCCCCACCCAGTCCACTGTACTATCTCTGTAGTAGGATATAACATAGCTCCCCCGTGAGAAATGAAATTGAGGCTATTAGGCAGGACACCTCCCAAATTTCCTACATGTACCATCCTGAATCTAATCCAATGGTTAGTCTCTCCTCCTCTCTAGGCTCTGAGGAAAAGGGATCTTTTAGAGAAACTAGCCTACCTTTGCTATTTCCTTCCACATCCATCAAGGGATTCACTATACCAATTATGTCCTCTCCTTCATGTACTGAACCTCTCTTTCC